AGGCACAAACCCAGCCTGGCAAGAAAGAAAAGGAAAAGTCAAGAGATAGACCCTAGAACAGGTTACATCTACATGCAATATAAAACAGTTCCCCTTAACTCACCGTGACTCCCAATGCAGTCACTAAGTCAGGTTCTGAAACCCAAAAAGCCATATTTTATTTGAATCTTAGACACTTACTAGTTAGGTAACTTTGGGCAGGTTAATCTTTCAAAGTCTCATTTTCCTCAGCATTAAAATGTGAATGATAATATTGATAGCATATACCTCTTATATCATAATTTTTAAACGATTTAATACATGCAAAGTATTCAACACAACAATGGGAACTCTGCAACACAAACTTATATAAGAAATACAAGTTTTTGTAAGTGAGACATTAATGTAATCTACTTGTTATTTGTGAAAAATTATGATGGTTTCAGCACAGTAGAATGAACTGGAATAGTAAGGAGATATTTAGGTCACAGAAAATGATGCTCTAAATCAATAGCAACAGAGAACTTGTTGATCAACCCTTAAAATTCATTGCTATGAAAATAAAGTGCAAACCCCTTTAAACGGTTTAAAGGGGTGTCCTTCATGATCTTGCCCTCTGTGTAACTAGCTAATATAGGTACTGACCTTTCTCCATCCTCTCAGTCACCAGCTAGCTCTGCTCCTCTCGTGGAGCACTGTGATTTCTCTGTGTCTTTGTACAAACTTCTTTCTCACCATGGAATGACTTGCCCATAGCCCTGCTTGTCCTTATTCAACTACCTGATGTCATCTCTTCAAGCAAGCCCTCAGAACCCCATAAGAAAGGGCTTAATACCCATATTGAGTAGCCAATACAACTCTATACCAATTTATATCATAATATAAGTAATGCTGTGTCATAATCCCATATCTGCTTTGTACATTTGTCTCCCAGAAAAGGTATTATGTTTCCAAAGTACAAGATATGTTTCTTATTTATCAATTAATGCCCAGCATCTAATAGAGCATCTAGTTTATATAAGACAATATAGAAATATTTGTTGAAGAAAATAAATGGATGAATAAGTCATTGAAATATTTAACAACAGATTGTGACAATTGCACAAAGTAAAAGGGTGAAAAAAAAGTCTACTTAAAAAGTGTGGTTCTGTGCTCATAATAACAAAAAAGATCTATAAACAGTCAGTGTAATTACACAATTCATCATAATGATTTTACTACATTTTGTCATATGTAAAAAGGGCTACAGAATGGGCAAAATAAAAAAAAAATCAACTTTAGGTCTCAAGCAGGCAGTAGAAAAACAAAAATTACAAATGTATCCATACAAAAATTACAAAGAATTTGACATCATTTGCAAAGTTAAACATAAAATTTCTACCTATTGAGAAGGCTAGGGGTGAATAACCACTGACACATAAGAGTCAAATGAAACACCAGTGCACAGTATCACACAGGTTTTATTAGCCAGCATGCGGAGAGGAGCAAGAAAAGGCGAAAGGTATATGCAAGAAGGGAGGAGAAAGAGAATTAAGGGGAGGGAAACTGGGTGACTAGGCAAAGGGATTAGGAAGTACAAATTGGTAGTCACAAAATAGTCATATGGATATACAGTACAGTATAAGGAATCCTATATAATAAAAGCTTAATATACAAATTGACCGACTGCTGAACAACTGGTCGCAATGACATGCACTGACCACCAGGGAGCAGGTTCTCAACGCAGGAGCTGCCCCCAGCCCACAGGACCCAGCCCAGCCAAAGCAGGTGCCAGTAGGAGGTAGGACCAGTGAGCGGGTGGTCCTCAGCCAGGCCAAGGTGGGTGCCAGTGGGGTTCCCCGATTGCCCCACCAGTTACCCCACAGATTGGTCCTGATCACTGGCCAGGCCTAGGGACCCTACGTGTGCACAAATTTTGTGCACTGGGCTTCTAGTAGACAATAATATTGCAATAACTATGTATGGTACCAAGTGGGCTCTGAAAATATTGGGGCGGGGGAGGGAAACACTGAAAATTATATGATTGTCTAGCCACTATGCTGTACAGCTGAAACCAAAACAAAATATTATTGTTTAATGAATAAAATATATAGTAAAATATATTTTAAATATCTATATCTCCCAAGGTTTACCATCACTTTTTACACCATAGATTCCTTTGGCACTCTGGTGAATACTATAGACCTCATCTCAGAATTTTAATGCATAAAATAATATACAGGGAAACATAAATCAATTATATTGCAGCATTGTTTTTTGCCTTAAATTAGGTACCTTTGGTACAAGGTAAAATCATTTTAATGAAGAACAACCTTACTTATTGAGTGTAAGATTTCATTTTATTTGTAATACATATGAAGTATTAAAATGAGGTGATTTGCCTATCTGCATCATTGATTCAATATGGGGAGTTTTCATTGAAATAATAAGTAATGACAATGTCTGAATGTCTTGTTAACATGTATCAAAGCCCTACTGGTCTGCATACCTGTCTTTATTCAATTGAATCTTAGATTCATTCTAACCCTGCTAACTAAATTTATGTTTTGATGCCTCAGGCACCTGATTATAGTCTCAGAGACTACATTGCTCAAAAGCACAAATCCTAAAAGATTTTAAAGAAAACAGTAGCATACCATTTCCAATTATAAATAGCTATACACATTTTTTCAGTGCATGGCTTATATGATGTGCTGGCGTAACTGTAAATAGAGTAATGCATCTATGTGAACTAAGGAAAACTCTGTATGCTTTTATCTACATGCTCTCTATACTACTATTTTTACTATTTTGAATTTATTCTTTTATATTGATACTATTGGCCCAGTGCACGAAATTCACGCACAGGGGGTGGGGGAGGGTTCCCTCAGCCCAGACTGCACCCTCTCCAATCCGGGACCACTTGGGGGATGTCTAAACAGGCAGTCAGACATCCCTCTTGCAATCTGGGACCCCTGGCTCCTAACCGCTCACCTGCCTGCAGGCCTGATCTTCCCTAACCATCTCTGCCACAGCCCTGCCACCATGGCTTTGTCTGAAAGGATGTCCAGAAAGTTGTCTGGTCTAATTAGCATATTACCCTTTTATTAGTATATATTAATTTCAGAAAGTGAGGGAGATAGAAACATCAATGATGAGAGAGAATCATTGATTGGCTGCCTCTTGCACACACCACACTGGGGATCAAGCCCACTACCCATGCATGTGCCCTGACCGGGAACTGAACTCTGGGCCCTTCAGTCTGAGGACTGAAATCTGAGGCTCTATCCACTGAGCAACACCAGCCATAGCTACACTTTCCCTTTCCACTGGGACATGTTCTGTCTGCTGGAGCTGAAACACTGAAGCTGTCTCACTGGGGCAGAGTGGGATGCACTGGGTTGGAGCAGGTGGAGCCCCCTGAAGGCTGGAGAGGGGCCTCATTTAACAGCCGCGCTGTTTCATGGCTGTGCTGCCTCGCAGTTGAGCGGCCACAAGGTTGGGCTGTGCCACAGTCAACGGGAGTTTACACAACTGAACTGTCTGCATGAATATCTTCCTCCTCACCACACCCCGAAGCTGGGGCTTCCTCTTAGGGTTGAAGTGACTCCGACCACCCTTGGTTGGTAGCCCAGTCGCCCACTTTGGAAAGAGAAGTGGGGAATCCTGATTTTACGTGAATGCTCCAATTTCTTAAGTTGGCAACTAATGCGAACTTCAGATGTTTGGGCCAAACCAGAGAAGAGGTCAGGCCTGGTGTCCAGGCCACTGGGCAACACTGGGCTCAGCCCAGCTGTAAAGGGACCCTAGGCGTCTGGGCTGGTGAAGGGGTTGGGAGCACGCTTGGGTAATTCCAATGTCATCCCACTTGGTGTTTTTTTCCACTGATCACAATTTATTATAATCTGTTGGCAGTATATGTAGATATCAGTTACCAGAACTAGGTCTTCATAGAAGTGGACAGTATGTAGCCATTCTATGGGGAACTGTGTGCACTTAATCATCAGCATGATCTTTCAGTTTCTTTTTTGTTGTTGTTAATGAAAGTAAGCTTTATTATATCAAGTAATAAATACATGCAAAGATGCAAACACTATTAGTCACTTACTTCCAGATGTTTGGATCCACTGATGGGAAAGGCGGAACTGAAATATACATACATCCTTAGGGGAAATTTCAGGGGTCCTTGTCAGGCAAGGTTTGATAAGTTGCTCTTTCTTCTGTATTTATAATTTGTGCATTTTAAAGATTGACTTCAAAGTACTAATATTCATGCATATTATTAAGCAAAAAAAAAAGTTACATTGAGCAGAATTTATACTGTGTGGCGAACGGGCACTGGCTACAAAAGCGCTGCCTCAGGACTTGCTGAAACAAACCCTCAGAGTTGGATCAGCTCAGAAGAGAAACATAAAGAACCATGTGAGGAACAGAAATGTATCCAGAAGAGAAACATGGTATCTGGGAGGCCAACTACGGTTTGCTGTGATAGGTAACTGACGTGCATCATATAAATCAATGCTTTAAAACACACACAAACACACACACACACACACACACACACACACACACCCCACCCTGGGTAGTTCCTAACTAACATGTAAACCTAATAACTGCAAAAATCTCTTCTCCATCTCAGCGACGGGAAGTTCAGAGCCTGACGAACCACGGGAGAGGCACGGGGAGGAGAAACCAAGCTGTTACCATTTTGAAACCAAATTTCCTCTGAAGGGGTTGAGGTGGGAGGGGGGCAATAAGCTGTCACTTCTTGGAAGAAGATGGAAAGCCTTTCGCGCTGACTCAGAGGCTAGGACCTGGCATTCCGCTCCCTCTCGGCCAAGCACTCCCGAACCAGCCCTCTCACGTGGATGATGCCTCGTTTCAGTCTTTCCATCGCACTCTTGCTGCCCATGTGCGTGGGTGGGATCTCCTTCCCCAGCTCTTCGGTGATGGCCAGCAGCTCAACATATTTGTTCTGGGGCACCTGGCTGTTCCCTGTTCCCTGCGTGTTAGAGATGGCGGTCCATAGTCACTCTGCAGCTGGCAGTACTGGGAGGATGTGGCCATGCCCGTGGAAGGCGGGGGAAGGCTCCCAGCGGCATTGAGGGCGGTCAAGTTCAGTTTGCAAAACATTCCCCCGGGCGTGCGCCTACAGAGCTCCCTAGCACTTTTTGTTGTTGACAGCTCCAGCCACACCAGCAAATATGGCTGCCCCTCACCCTGACACCACTGCACTATCATGAACTTTCAGTTTCTTGATGTTCTGCTTGTGCCGCTCAATTTCGTTCTGCAGACACTCAATCTCATTTTTAAGATGAGTGATCTCTTCTTCATGTTGTTTCTTCAGGCTGCCAGCTGTTCTTTAGTCCACTCTCAGAAGAATCGTTCCTCTCAGCCTTCTCTTTTTTTTGTGAAGGTCCCACCGACTTCCCTGATTGTTCCTGCCTCGGAGCTGAAATTAGCTGACCATGGCAGCCAAAGCCTCCGGCTTGCATGGCCCTCACTCCCCACACTGTGAGCCACAGCCGACTCGGAGACTGCCATGGTTGTCAGTGCCACACAGCTCCGGACCACCCCACTTGGTTTTAAATGCAAACCCACCTTGGACAGGCATTGAAGGTCTTTTTTCCTTCTGTCTGCTCACATTCAAGTGCCGGCAGCGCTGGTCCATTGGTGCCTGGCCTGTCCTCTTGAGATTCAATCTGCAGGACTACTAAGGAAGCCAGTTCCCAGTTCCGCCCAACTCCCTATGCTCCGTGCACAACCTCCTCCTGTTTGGTCCTGATGGTGTCCTGGCTTAAGTAGCATATTTCATATATATACTAGAGCCCCGGAGCACAAAAATTTGTGCACTGGGGGTGGGGGATGGAGGGAGTGGGGAGGATGGGGAGGTGGTCCCTCACAGGCATTGAAGGTCTCTCGCAGCCTGGGACCTCTTGCAGCCTGGGACCCCTTGGGGATGACCACCTGCCGGCTTAGGCCTGCTCCCTGGGGGATTGGGCCTAAGTTGGCAATCAGACATCCCTCTGGCAGCCCATGAGACCTCAGGGGATGTCCACTTGCCAGCGGGGAGCAAGCCTAGCTGCAGTCAAATATCCTTAGCGCTACTGAGGAGGCGGAAGAGGCTCCCACCACCACCGCTGTACTGGCAGCCATCAGCCTGGCTTGTGGCTGAGCAGAGCTCCCCCTGTGGGGGGCA